CGACAGAACCAGCACGACACTGCGTGACGTAAATAGTGAATTTACGATAGAGGACTTTTTAGACTTAGTGATCTAAACGAAAGTCGTAGTGTTCGTTAAACCGAGAGCGTGCATAAAAAGAACGCCCAAATCTGACTTAGTATGAAGAAGTTATGATTTATCTAAGTTTCGGATCAACAGTGCACAACCCGAAGTTCGAATATTAGATTGAGCGGTTTTTAGCCGACACAACCTAAAAGAGAATCGAAGGTCTTGTTAATAGTAGTTCAACGATAAAAAGACAGTCGAAAATGGAGTCTGTATGTAGAATTTATGAATTCTACACGGTCGTTTAGCAGTGTAAACTTCTCATACCGTTAAATTTAAAATAGGTCGAGAATTAGCCGATGGAGTCTAAATAAAAGTTGTAGAGCATGTTTCCACCTACGCATGGATATAAAGAACGTCAAAAATGGAGCTCGTATGCGAAATATATGAATTTTTGAAGTCGGAGTGGGAAATCTTGAAGCTGGGTGCGAGGGCTACGCCCAACGTATCCTCGGACGCCAAGCGTACCGAAGTACGCCCCGCGTACGTAGGTGGTACGCCCCGCAGTTTGACCTTTTATGCGGTTCCGAAGTGGTCCACGTCGCCCCAGCAGTTAGATTACACGCCTGTACGAACCTCGGTGTACGCCCAGCGTACTTCGAAACTACGTCCAACGTAGCGAGGCCTCTCGGCCTATAAAAGGGGACCGAGGGCAGCCTCTTTTCTTCACAAATTCATCTTCTCTTTCTCACTCTGCTCTCTCTCTAGCCACCCTAATCCACCCCGAAGCCTAGGAAACATTTCTAGCTCTAGGAGAAAGCCTCGGAGAGCCCGAAGGCTCCGAGAAAAAGAGTTTTTCGGTCTGAAACTATGCCCGCACGGAGCCCGGTTTTCAAGCAAACTTCCTGGTTTCGTCAAAGAAGATTATTTTAAGAAGCGAAGTGCTGTCCAAATCACTCCGTATCAGGTGAGTGTGTAGTCACTTTCATCTTACACATAGATATGAAGTATTTTATATATATATTACGTGCTATGTGTATATATATTATCTATTTACTTGAGATCTATGCTGGATGAAAGATCTGAACCTCTTTCTTCTCAGATCTGAACTTTTTCTTTCAGATCTAAACTTTTCTTCAAGATCCGAACCCTGTTCCTTCAGATCTAGACTTTCTCACTTCAGATCTAAACTTTTCAGATCTAAACTGTATAAGTATGTTTTATACTTTGAGATCTATGCTGTATGAAAGATTTAAACTCTGTTTTATAGATTTGACCTGTATATGTACTTTATGTCTACAAATATGTTGGGTAAACATGGGTAGATGAAATAGTTGGTGTGTGGTGAAATAAAATGATGAGAGGCCTCGATGTTGACGTTGATCCAGTCATCTAGCGGAGTATGGATGACGACCACATACTTTTCTAGGAAGTCTAGTGGAACGCTAGCAGGCTCGCAACCTGTAGGTGTTTGTGAACGATGTGTTCACCGGTGTATTCCATCCCTCCATGGTTTCCTTACAGACACATATGGCTGAGGAATCCCCTTATCAGTAGTGTCCATCCTGATGAAATTCCTTAGGATAGGTCCCTTATGATAGATGCTTTAGGGACGTAAGGTGAGGATAACGGGAACGGGTAATCGGGTTGAATGATTGTTGAAAATAACAAACTTATTTATTGTGGGTTGAAAACCCTATATGCTCACCAGGCTCCCCATCCCGATCCACTCAGTTTCTTGTATTACAGGTAGTGGCAAAAGCATAGTTGGATGATTTGACGAGAGATTATGGATTTTAGGCGAGTAGAAAAAAATGGAATGTTGTAAGGCCTATGTTGTTTTGAGGCCAGATTGTGTTTTGTGGTCTATGATGTTTTTGGTTTATGCTTATGACCTGTATCGATGATTGACATCCCGAGTTTTTGTAATGTAATGAAAATACATTTTCTTTAAGAAATGCTTTGATAAAATTTTATCATATTTTGTTTTGGGAACAAATTCCGCAACATCTTTCTTAAGAAGTTACTCTGATTTTAATTAAAAAAAACATAAACGAAATCGGTCTTTTTTGGCCGTAAAAATGGGGATGTCACATATTGAAGAGGTGAAAAGTGATAAATTGAAGAAAATATGGAAATCTTGATATGAAGAAATGATAACACTGTGAATCTTTGTAGTTTTTTTTTTAATTTTATTTTGTATCGAATAAAATACTTGTAGTATTATGTTTATAGATTGATTAATAAAAATGAGATTTTTTATTATTACTTACGAATATTATAGTATAAGAAATATACATATATGCATTTGAAAAAATATGCATATATCCACCTAGAACGGTGATTTTTTTTTTGTTAAAAAAATTAGAGTTTTTTTTTTCTATTTTTTTTTAAATATTCTCGTTTTTTTAATTTATTGATTTTTAAAAATTTACTTTTTAAAAGAATACATTTTTTTAATAAAAATTGCAGTTTTTTTGAAAAATTTATAGTTTTTTTTTAAATGCAGTTTTTTTTAAAGAAATTGCAGTTTTTTTTGAAAAAATTGCAGTTTTTTTAAAAAATATTTTTTTTTCAATTTTTTTTAAAAAATTCATGTTTTCTGAAAACAATTAAAAAATCTCCATTTTTTAAAAAAAATCGATTTTTTTTAAAAAAATCCGAAATTTGATTTATTATGTTAATTTTTAGAACTTTTTATTAATATTTCCAATAATAAAAAAAAATTAAACATTAAATGAGATCGGTAAGATGACGATAATGCTTTTAATGAGTTAATGTTGATCTAACGCTCCACCTTTAGTTCTCAGGTTCTCGGGAAACTATGAGTTCTCAACGGATTTCACCCTTTCTCTCTCTCTCTCTCTCTCTATATATATATATATATATATATATATATATATATAGGGTGAGATCGGTTGAGAACTCATCGTTTCCCGAGAACCCGAGAACTAAAAGTGGAGCGTTAGATCAAAACTAATTCATTAAGGGGATGATCGTAATCTTATCAATCTCATTTAATGTTTAATTTTTTGTGTTATTGTAAATATTAATAGAAATGTCTAAAAATTACATAATAAATCTAAATTTTGGATTTTTTAAAAATAGTATTTTTCAGTTTTTTTTTTAAAAGTGCAGATTTTTTTAATTTTTTATAGAAAACATGAATTTTTGAAAAAAAAATTGAAAAATATATTTTTATTTTAAAAAAACTGCAATTTAAAAGAAAAATTAAAAATCAATAAAATTAAAAAAAAAAACTGGAATATTTAATAAATACTATAACTTTTTAACCAACAAAATCAACATTTTTGGTACATTTATGCATATTTTTACAAATGCATATATGCATATTTCATTTACCATAATATTTCATTTTATTTTACTAATCTATAAACACAATACAATAAGTATTTTATTTGATACAATATAAAATATAAAAAACAAAAAATGCTACAAAATTTCAAAGCGTTTCATGTCTTCGTGTCAATATTTCCATATTTTCTTCAATTTATCATTTTCACCTCTTCAATATTCACCACAATTTCTTCCAAATCTACAAGAAAATTAAAAAGAAATTGATTGGTGCAAAAACACTCACAAAAATACATATGTGATTTACATGTGAATCACATGTAATTCATATGTGAATTACATGTGAATCGCATGTAATTCATAATAACATGTGATTTACATGTGATTCATATGTGAATTACATGTGATTTGCATGTGAATTACATGTGATTCACATGTAAATCACAAGTGATTCACATGTAAATCATGAGAATTACATGTGATTCACATGTAAATCACAAATGATTCACATGTAAATCATAAGTGATTCACATGTAAACCACAAGTGATTCATGAAGCTCAATAGAGAAGCAACCACCCAAATAAGATGTGGTTAATTAGCTAACAAATAAAATATAATTTTATGAACAAATGAGCTACAATTTTTATCACATTCGTGTATAAGTTGATCAACATTGTATAGGTAATATTAATATGTAAAAGTTACTATTATGCTTTACTAAAAAGTGGTGGGGATAATAATAATATGTGAATGTTGATCCTTTATAGTTTTATTAAACTTTTTAGACAATTTAAAATGTAGATATTTACCTGTAGAAAATATGCACAAGTCAATAAAGCTTTACATTGATCAAGCTTTTTCTTGTGCTGTTACAGTCGCAAGTTCAGAAACCCACTCAATTTGTCCCCTCCAATTGTAGAAAATAAATTTATTTACAACATCATTCATTTTTATAAACTTCAAATGAGTAAGTATTAAAAGATATAAAACTAGCTCTTGATAGTGTAGATTGTAAGGAGGATCCAGTCGATTTCATTACTTGAATGCATTGACCAAAAAGTAACACGACATAATATGGATAAAAACATAAAACAATTTTCTTATTGATCCCCAATAAACCACTACAAAGCCAACACATTTAATTAAAACCAATTAGTCGATCATGTCCTTCAGTGTGTGTGTATATATATATATATATATATATATATATATATATATACTCTAATAACTGATAAAATAACAAATTATTTGATCAATTGGTCTCATTCTCGACTTTAATAGTAAAAGCATAATTTTCAGATTCTTGTGTAGATGATATGCAAATAACACCATCAACATCTTACTTAATCAACTAAAACCTGTCATTTTGTCCTTGGTCTTGACGTTGACCAAAAATTAGAAAAACTTACAACCACCACCATCATTTATAAGCTTAACATTATCAGTTTCTCTCAACTCTTAAAGAAAGCTTAACATTATGGCAAAAGGATGATTACTATTTTAAGACCAACATATGTTACATGAAAGACTTCACTTGCATTCAATAAACTTATTTCAAGCCTTCAAATATCAAGTGGACAAATCAAATATATAAATGATTGTTCACCATATCCACTATTATCACAATATCTATATCTTCTACCAACAGATGAAAAACTTACCTACAAAACGCTTGCCCATAACTTGCAGCTCTCAGTAGTGTCTGTTGTAGTGAAGGATCAAACTCATGTCCTGCAGCATCTACATAGTGTTGTAGTGAAGGATCAAACTCATGCATTGCAGCATCTACACAGGCTTCAATAACCTCAGGAAACGATGCTTTTATCAGCCTCAAATTTTCATCAGCCTGGAATGGAATAAATCAACATTACAACTTAGAAAGAAAGAAAGAAATGTAAAGTCTAATTCACATTTCAAATATCAAAATGAAACATAGACCTTAGAATCACAGATAAAATCATATCCACTATACAGAGATCAAGCTCCCGAACATTGTGCGAGATTGCAGCAGAAATCCATAATTTTATTTGGGATGCATCAGAGGAAATACGACATGTTAGAATAAACTTTTCTAAATTTGATGCATCCCGCATCCGGAGGACCGTTTCTACAAAGTTCATAAAGGAAAAGTTCATGAAGGAAGTGACCTTAGATAGATGCTTGTCATCAATCTCTCTAGGATAAATGAAAGGGACTATGATTAATTGAAACTGTGAAAAAATAACAGAAACCAAAAACATGAATACATGAGGAAAGTACATGATAACGAGCAATGAAGTCGAAGTGCTTTGGCAAGAATCTGGTGTAGAACATATCGAAGACATGCTGGAAACAAACTCAGACGACAAGGCATTAAGGTTTAGCGATTAATTCCAGATCTGGAGGACAGTGGTGTTTATTTTGGGGAAAATCGTGTGAGACGATAAGCGATCGATTGGCGGAGGAGGTGGAGATAATGCAACAACAACGCTGGAGATCAATAAACGTGGATTGATAGTCGCCGATGAAGGGAGGGGGGAGACGATCGACGAATGAGGGAGTCATCTTTGATCATCTGTGTTGAATGAAGACGAGAGAGAGAGAGAGAGAGGTGAGAGAGAAAGTATTTTGGTGATTTCCTCGTTTAATTGGCAATTTAAATTTTGTTTATTTTCTGGATTGATAGATTTACCCCTTAGATCTATTGATAATAACCCAAATTCTCCTTAAATTCACTTATATTTACAGTTATGCCATCTTTAATCTAAGCCATCAAAATTTTTGATCTAACGCTCCACTTTTAGTTCTCGGGAAACTATGAGTTCTCAAATGATCCTTCCCCCCCCCCCCCCCCCCTCTCTCTCTCTCTCTTATATATATATATATATATATAATATATATATATATATGATATATATATATAGATATGATAATATATATATAATATCTATATATCTATATCGGGAGAGGTTCAATTGAGAACCCAAAAATGTTAAGAACTCTAAGAACCACTAATTTTAAACTTATTTTTGTCATTTTTTTCAAATATTTTGATTTTTTTAAAGTTTTTATAAATGACAAAAAGATAAAAGGGCATAATGGTTTTTTTTTTATAATCTCATTCACAATCACCACAAGAGCATTATGATATGATGACATTCACTTACAATTTTCAAAAAACAAAATTATATACTCTCATCTACTTCAAGAACATCTGAAGAACACCACCACAAGTTCACAACCACCATCGCATCCTCGTATCATCAGAGATAACATCTGCCATCAGAATTTCAGATCTGGAACCTCCGATTTCTCTCCTCCACCGTTGCTCCGTCAGATGACATCAAACTACCACCAACAATGTCAACGTCCTTTGGTTCTATTTTCTTTTAGATCTCTATGAACTCCATCAAAGCACCACATCAATTTCTACTTTTCTCTCTAAACCACAAAAATGTTAGATCTAGTTCTAAATCGTCGGAATATCTCAGATCCAAAGAGAAACTGATGAAAACGACTACCACATGCCGAAATATCTCAGATCTGAAACCATAACACCACAACTATCGTGAATCACCGCCTTCGTCATTGTCATTCGACGCACTAGAGAACAGATCTATTAGTTATGGCAACCGATAAGGACAGGTCTACAAGTTCCGGTCAACGACGAGACCAAATCTACAAGCTACAGTTACCGACACCGTCAATCGCCGCCACCTCTGCCGCTTGTCGCTCCGGTGAAACTCCGCCAGGTAGTCTTCATCTCCATACTCTTGGTAAAAATATGACCGATGAACGTCTGAATGCGTTGTATAATTTTTTTTGTGAATAATGTAAATTAAAATGTGAATGAATGTCTATAAATGTTTTATTAGACTGTGAATTTGTGTGGTGCATAAAATGTATTTGATGAAATAATTCAACATAATCAAGTATGTTTTTTAAGATGTAAATATTGTGATTGAGACTCCTAAAATGCTTTATTAAAGTGTGAATTAAAATCTTGAAATGTAAGTTTTAAGTTGGATATGGCCGTAATATATAATTTTTGTATATTAAACTTTGAAATTATTATATTTAATTTGTGAATTTTATGTATTAAAATGTGAATTGACTGTATTAAGTGTTTTAAGTTGATAATATGGATGTGAATGCATATTTTTTTGTGTATTTAACTGTGAATTTATTTTATTAATCTGTGAATTTTTCGTATTAAGCTGTGATTTTTGTGTTTTAAATTGTGAATTAATTGCATTAAGCTATGAATTTTCTGTTTAAGTTGTGAATATATTATATTGAGTTGTGAATTTTATATATTAAACTGTGATTTTTATGTTATAAACAATGAATTGGTTGCATTAAGCTGTGTATTTTCTATTTAAACTGTGAATTTTCCATGAATTTTGTGTTAAATTATGAATGATTTATGTATGATTGTTTGTATTAATTTCTTTGTGAATATATATACTTTTTGTTGTATAAATATGTAAAAATGTATTAGTTTTTATAATTATTTTGCATGAAACTTTGAGTAAATGAATTAATCGGTTTATTAAATTGTGAATATAGTATTAAGCTGTCAATCACTGATTTTATATACAGGTTTGATTCGGAAGGAATGATGATTGTGACAGTAGCATGTGTGGTTGATAGTGATGTGTTGTAGTTGGTCATGGTGGTGGTGAGAGAGTTTAAGTTTGACTACTTTAAATATAAGAATTAGTATATAATGGATTGTATTATATTATGTTGTGAATTTTATGTAATAAACTAAAAATGGATTGTATTAAGTTGTATATTGTATATAAATTTTGTGTTCAAATTTTAATGAATGTATGCATGGAAATACTAAACAGTGTATTACTGAATTATTATGTTTATTAAACTGTGAATACTTTATTTTAAACAGTGAATATTTCTTATACACATGTATTTTTTTTTTGTAAATCTACAATTTAGAAAAAAAATGATTTTTTAAGACATAATTCTATTTTTTTTTACTAAAGTTTTGGATATTTTCGTTGGAAAAATAAAAAATATTACCAAAGAAATCGGAGCTACAAAGTTTAATCTATTAAGCTGTGGATATGACTAGAAAATGTCGTTGAATTTAATGTTAGTCCGGCGGCGGTCCGACGACAAGTGACAAATAGTTTGTAAACTAGAGAATAAAAAGTTTGTTTAATACAATATAAATATTAGATTTGTCCAAAATGTCGTTAATGAAAACATTTTAAAAAACTGGTTCTTAGAGTTATTAACATATTTGAGTTCTTATTTGAACCTCTCCCTATATATTATATATAATATTATATATAGAATATATATATATATATATATATATATATATATATATATATATATATATATGGAAAAGTTCAATAGAGAACCATTATTAACCAATGAACCAATCCAAAGCGTCGAAATTTAAAGCGATCAATGAGAAAAGAAAGGGTTGTAGACTTTTACAATGGACGCACATGCACCGGATTATAACAAAATCTATTTTTTTTTCGTTTAAATTTTTTTAGGCCATGTTTTTTATCGAAAAAAAAACCCGAGTATACCGTTGTTCACGATTTTTCGTTCTCTTTCCAAAGAGATCCATGATGATATATATAAAAAACGAAAATTTTTTTTTCCAAAAAAAATCCACTTCATTTTCTTTGTTGAAAAATTAAGGTCTATTTTTTTATAGAAAAAAATTAATAAATATATCAAAATTCATGATTTTTTGTACTTTCTAAACATAGATTCATATTCATGTAAAAAACGATATTTCAGTTCAGATTCACATTGTGAACCTGTTCAGATTCATATTATGAACTTTCTCAGATTCACAGTGTGCATAATATTAAGTCAGATTCACAGCGTGAATCTGAACTGATCGGAGTTTTTTCACATTGTGAATGTTAAAAATTGAAATATTTACAGTTTAGATTGTGAATCTACACTGATCGAGGTTTTTTTTTTTTTTTTTTTTTTTGTGAATCTTCTCAGATTCACAGTGTGCATAATAGTAAGTCAGATTCACAATGTGAATCTGAACTGTTCAAGCTTTTTCACATTGTGAATGTTAAAAATTGAAATATTTACGGTGTTTATTCATAGTGTGAATCTACACTATTCGAGGTTATTTTTATTATTATTATTTTTTTTATCGGTTTTGATGTTTATTAATAGAGTAAAAAAAAATAATATTTTTAGTATAATTAGTTTTTTTATTAATAAAATTTCTGATGCTCAGAATCGTTTTTGGTTCGTTGTTAATTCATGACGATCAATAATGAAAGGAGTGACTATTTCCTTCGGCGGTGAGGGGAAGCAGTGAGATGCACGACACAAAACGCAACTATCTTCGACATAAGACTCTGAGAAAGCCGGAGGGGCGAAGGATTTGATCTGAGCAACGACTTCAATGATATATACGTCTGGCAATATAGATCTAATTCTGAGGGTATTGGTCCTGTGGTTCATCCTCCTTCTCGATCAAATTCACAGATACCCAATAAACTTAATCAACCAATTATGTCCCTCAATATGAAAACTCTTACTCAGGCCTTCGCGAAAACAGCCGCGGTGATTGAAAAGACCGTACAGGACGTCACCGGACCCAAAGCCCTCCAGGACTATGAGCTTCTTGACCAGATCGGCTCCGCTGGACCAGGCCTCGCTTGGAAGCTATACTCCGCTAAGGCTCGTGGCGGGTCCACCCTCCTTTCTCACCAGTATCCTACAGTCTGCGTTTGGGTTCTTGACAAGCGCGCTTTATCGGAGGCTCGGGTACGCGTGGGGCTTTCCAGAGCAGCCGAAGACTCCTTCTTCGAGATCATCAGAGCTGATGCGTCCAGATTAGTTAGATTGAGGCACCCAGGAGTGGTTCATGTGATCCAAGCCCTAGACGAGAACAAAAATGCCATGGCAATGGTTACTGAGCCTTTATTTGCTTCTGTAGCCAACGCCCTTGGTATATTGGATAACATATCCAAAGTGCCAAAGGAACTTCAAGGGATGGTAGGTATTTCAAAATAAATTCCTCTTTCCTTTTCAGCCTGCATCATAGTGTTGCAGTTTATGTTTCAATGGAACAATTAAAGTTTCCATCTAATTTTTGGCACTGCCTAATTTCATGCTTCTTAGTAGTGCATATGAGTATGGTAGCTGGAGATCCCTTGCAGATTATCATAGGATATTTTTGGATTCTAAAATTTTAAAATTAATGGTTTTAATACATGATAGATTCAACTTAACTTGTACTAAAGAGCTTGTAGTGTTATGCAATATTGAAGAAGATACATCATACATGTAACTTAATTATGCATTATACATGATAATACTCTACGAGGACATCTGTGTACTCTCGTTGAATTACGAATTTGATCTAGTAGTATGTTTGCCATTAGTTCGGATTCCATGTTGTGGTATGAGAATAGGCTACATTGACAGCTTGGTGAAAATGATGCATAATCAATGTTATGTTCTTTATTATAACATCTAGACTACTTATCTGAATCGTGGTCTATGGTAATGAGGTATAATTGTTGACTAAGCCCTTAGTTGAGCATATAATTGCTTCTGGAAACAAAATGTCCTTTTTGCCGATGTGTATTTAATTCTTTATGGTAACTCTACTACTATAATTACTTTCTTGGCCACATTGCCTTGTAAAATAAGGCCTCTAGACAATTCTTTTTTCTTCCCAATTACTTATTTTAAAATACATCACTTTGGATCTTAATCGGTTAAGACATATTTATTCATCTTATATCTTGGAAAAACAAGAACCATTTTCTCTCTCCTGTATGACAGATACATGATCTAGGGTAGGGTGGACTGCCCGTCTGTACATAATGCTGATTTAAATGCTGTCCTAAACCTTGTTGAAAACATTTAAAAATATGGATAATTAATTATGTGATTATACTTTCTACAAGTTGCTGAAAAGTTTGTTCTTTCTTCTGTAGGAAATGGGTTTGTTGGAGGTAAAGCATGGTTTACTTCAGGTAGCAGAATGTTTGGACTTTCTTCACAATAATGCCTGCCTCATTCATCGTGCCATATCCCCTGAGGTATACACAACCTTATATCAATGACATCTGTGCTTGGTAGTCGCATACATTTCCTGGAAAGACTCCACCGAAACAGACTGTTTTTTTCTTTGTTTTGTGTGATACAACTATTTCAATGTATCTGTGCTTGTGACTTTGCAAGGATTCTGAACTCCTAGAGTCTAAATCTTTGATGGGTATTTTTTGCAACAACTATTCTTGAACCAAAGGAAGGTATAGTGAACAGAAAGATAACCTGTACATGATTGGATGATATTTTAGCCTATTTGGCGCTGGAAGAGTTACGACCTTTTTGCTACTAGATAAAATAATACAAAACATAAGGAACCAATAATAATTCTGGATAAGGCAGCGGAGACATTCATGCAGCTAGATAATGTGTCCTATTGTCCCCCAAATTCCTGATTGTTGCTGCCTTCTACTGATGCTGTGTGTACACTATTATATTTTCTGCAAAATATATTTAAGTCAAAAAAATCAAGCAAGTAATGTTCATGTATTTGATCAATTTGGATTGTATGTATACTCTTAATACCATGCCAAAGCTGGAATACGAGCCAAGAAATTGCTAATACGAGTTAGGGTCTGCATAGGATTGATTATCTTTTGAGCAGTGTTACACCTACTTCATCCTCCTCCGCCTGGATTTTCCCTCAAGTCATCAAGGTAGATATCTTCCAAGTAGTGCACAAGACATTGATGTTGCCATTTAATCATTAAATGATCTAGATAGGACATCAACTCTTAGCATCAACCTGCTCTTCCTCTTTGAATGGAATCTTTCATTTTTTTAAGCGCAACGATGCTATCACTGCCGATTCAAAAATCGCCTTCTTGCGGCTTTGTTTGTCTTGGCTTTATGTGCAGCATAACAACACTAACCTTCTTAATTTGTTCGTCACTTGTTTATGCAACTCCTTAATCTCCTCAGCTTGTCTGGATGAGATTTGAACTTTAAATGGGAGAAGCAAATTAATGGGTGTGAGAGAATTCAATCCATAATTGACTTCAAATGGTGTCCATTTCCCTAAAACATAAATACATAATCATGAGCTTTGTTGTATGCATTAAATCCCTTTTTCTCAATCTATTAACACGGGGAAGCCTTAAATTCCAATTTCTTAATGTCTTCTTTACAAAAAGGTAGAGAGAATGTGGTTAGTTTGAGGGTGGAAGGCTGTGATATACGTGTGTTAAGACCTCCATACATTTCAGGACTATTATGAACACAATATTTTGATTCAGTAAAGAACTTAATCATTACCATCATGTGTCAATTTCCATGTATATTCTATATCAACGAATATTGCTATTATTGTGGTAATAATAATGAATTAAAGTTAATGTGATGTGTGGTTGATATTGATTTCTGTGAGGATGTCTAGTGCATCCTGTGTCCAAATTGATAGATTTTAACTTTCACTTTGCTCCAGTCAAGCATGTTTAGATAAGATGTATAATAATATAGGTTTGTTTGAACTCTACAAACTATATGCTTGATGTTGCTAATGTGCTATTTACATAGTTTCCTTAGCAAACAAATTATCATATTTTGTTTTTCGTTTAGATTCTCATATATCATCAATGATTAATGATAGAAGTTAACTATACGACTTCTAATCCCACATGGAGGGACAAACATTTGAGTGTTGTTGGACATATTTGATGCACAACATTTGCAGCATATCATTTGACCATGTTTCTTGATTGGATATCTCAGACTGTGCTCATCAACTCAAGTGGAGCTTGGAAGCTTGGTGGATTCAGTTTTTCAATATCAGCAGACCTTTCATCTACAGATTCATCTACTGTGCAGCCCTTCCATTATGCGGTGAGTCATAGCTTTGATAGGAATTGTAAAACTTGTCAATTAAATTCTACTATCACTCTTATCAGATTTGCAAATGTTTAGAATTATGTTTCACATGAAATTGTTTATGTTTATCCATCAGGAATATGATGTTGAAGATTCAGTACTGCCTCTTCAACCATCACTGAACTACACTGCTCCAGAACTAGTCAGGCCCAAGGCACCTTCATTCGGATGCTCTTCTGATATTTTTAGCTTTGGATGCCTCGCTTACCATTTGATTGCTAAAAAGCCTTTATTCGACTGCCACAATAACGTGAAAATGGTATTACTCTGACTCATACTTATTTATTTTCGTAGTATCTTTCAATGTATCTAGTAGCAACCCCCTCTCAACCACACAAACCAGAAGAAAAAAAATTTATGCCTTCCATAATACAAGCTGTCCATTTTTGTTTCTTCCATGCAGTACATGAATAATCTGACATACTTATCCAGTGAAGCCTTTTCATCCATTCCTCACGAACTAGTTACTGACTTGAAAAGAATGCTTTCAGCAAACGAGGCTCTAAGACCCTCAGCTTTGGATTTTACAGGTATGGTTTCCAAACATTATGTAAAACTATAAACTTATATTGTTGTCAAAGGTGAGTCAAGCTAGTGCAACAACACACCTGAGGCTAGATGTAATCACCCAAGCGAAGTGAGGCAAAGTATCTTAAAACATGACAAATTATACGAGGTTTCACATTTTAAAATAGCATGTTCATGTATGTCCACAAACTCATAATAAACATGTAGGATAATCACTAAACTCACAACATCATACTAGAAATTCAAACCGTTTGGATCAAGTTCTAGCAACTTCCTCAGGCTCCACCATTTATGAACACAAGAGTTTTTACTAAGGAAGAAGAAGGAGATACCTTGATTCAAGATCTTCAAATTCGACTTTGGGAGCTCTCAAATGAAGCGGGGCCTGAAATGAGAGATGTTGGTTTAACAATTACCTTGTATCTCACTTGTTATGTCTGGCCGACCTAGTTACACGATGGTGTAACTCATTACATGATCATGTAATGCTCAAATGTGCCCAAAATAGCATCACACTTCATAAAAATCCGGTTTTTATGACTTTGACATACTTACACGATCGTGTAATCCTCCCTGGTCCAATATTAGCATTCTACTTTTCTTTTGCATGCTTGGTACTTCGTGAGACTTACACAATTGTGTAAGGCCTTTGCACGATCATGTGATCCTTTGGTGCATTTTTGGGCAATGTGCTTTACACCGTATCCAATCCTCTATTTCTACGACCCATAACTTCCTCATATGAACTTGGATTTCGATGGGTTTTGATAAGAATCTTAAAACAATAATGAAGAACAGGAATTGAATGCTTGATTACTATGAACTTCAAATGAAAATAACAAAATAACAAATCAGAGAAGTTAATCAAATGATTATCCTTCCCGATTTAGTTCTAAATCAGAGAGGGTCTCAAAAAAGATGACCTCCTACCCAAGCTAATGCGGATGACTATTAACTCCAAATGCAAAAGACTGAATACCCCACTATTCCTATTACTACTCTATTTATCCTATTCTTCATATAGTTCTAGATAGGGTGCAAAAAAGATAATAGTAATAGATATTACAATCAAGTCCCTCATGTTTACCAATATATTTATATAAGACCCATACCACATTCTCTATAATACCGCCAGTCCGCCGTCTTGAAGAAGAGGCTTGTCCTCAAGCCGGGATCTAGGAAATTGATTTTTTGGTTGCAATGCATTTTCATATGTTTCTTCTTTGATTGAACCTTGCTTTCATGAAATTGATTTAGGGAGGAGATTTTCATCATGTTCTCATACCAAAGAACCAACTCTGTGATGTCATCTTCTTCGATACTTCCTAATGGTACTATAGTATCCCCGTACTTTGCTGCCATTCTTACAAATTTTGGTTGATCAGGCCCAAATAACTTGTATTCCTCACCCTTACGATGAAGAGCCTCACGTGTACCACTAGGGTAGAGCGATGCAAAAGGTTTTGATGAAAACAATTTGAGGAGGATGTGATAACCAGCTACCCAAACAGGTCCTTCATCTCCTCCTTCTGGAATCCCACTAGGGCCTCTCGCTATTCTTCCTTTTCTAAAGTTGAAAATATCATGATGAACATAAATCTAGGATGTTTGTTTGGTCGAGTCTTGCATTCCTTGATCAACTTTTGGATCTCCCTATCACTGTTTGCCTTTTCAGTTAATTGTGCCCATGTAGCCATAACCATAACGATTGTAGTACAAGATATTCTAACTGCATGTGCCCCTATAGCCATAACCATAACGGTTGTGATCCTTCGTTCCACCTATATCAAATATGTCCCCGACACACATGTATCTACTCTAGACCCTTCAAGTGCTCTTATGTGCCACTTGATGTTCCATTTGTCCAAAGAAAAGAAAAATGCAATTGCAAATTGGTAAAACCAATCGGTCGCTTTGGCTATGCTATATTTGATCGTATTTCTTATGTTAACTTGTCTTCTAGCCATTATGCCTTTGTGTCAGCATTAGACAATTATCATATGCCTCGATTTGTATCTGAAGCTCAGGCTCATCCACATCCAGGTTGGCTTGCGGCAGTGAATGAAGAAATATTTGCCCAAATGGGTATTCTCATTTTGGCTCCCTTGCTCGTAAGGCCATACTTGTTGCCAAAAGGATACTCTAAGATTTATGGGGAAAATTATAATGAGACGTTTAGCCCTGTTGCCATGTTGCCAAAATGACATCTAATGACGTTTGTACGTCTCATTATTGCACTAGCTGTTATCTGTTATTGGCCGCTCCTTTAACTTGATATCAAGAACGCATTTTTCTATACTGTTCTTGAGGAGGAGGTTTATATGTAACAACCACCTGGTTTTATAGTTGGGGAGGAGTCATCCAAAGTATATTGTCTTATGCTCTCGCTCATGGCCATAAACAAGCTCCCAGAGTCCGGTTTTCTCGATTTTCACATGTTGCGGACAAGTTTGGAATGAAAAGGAGCGAGTGTGATTACTTTCGACATCGACATGGTAAAATGATCATTTTGGTATTCTATGTTAATGACATTGTTGTCACCAATGATGATCACAAAGGAATTGTGGCTTATAAGACCTTCATTTAAAAGGAATTTCAGATAAAAGATCACAGAAACCTCAAGTACTTTTTCCGTATCTAGGTTGCTCGATCTAGTTATGGATTCCTCCTTTGTCAGGGAAAATATATCCTTGATATCCTTGTTGAGACCGACATGCTTTACAGCCACGATGCTGACTTTCCAATGATCCCAAATATTAAGTTGTATCCGGAAGCTGGAGAACCATTGGAGGACCTAGGAAGATACAAAAGATTAGCGGGGGAAATTTAATTATCTTACTGTCATGAGACCGGATATTGCATTCTCCTTTGGTGTAGTTAGTCAGTTGTTGTCTTCACCGCACACAAGTCATTGGGATGTAGTGCTACATACATATTCTAAGGTATCTAAAAGGTGCTCTTTTTTTTTGCCAGGGCTCCTCTACACAAATCGAGGTCGCACTTAGATAGGCGGATACTGAGATGCAAGTCATGCTTTGTGCCCTTACAGTCAAAGGTCAACCATAGGTTATTGCAACCTCTTTGGTGGAAATCTAGTATCTTGAAAATGTAAGAAACATATATAGTTTCCTTATCTAGTGCATAATCAGAATATCGAGCTACGCCCTGAACAATGTGAGTTGGCATGGATTCTTCATCTAGCCCGAGAATTAGGAAATAACACAAGTGAACTAATGGATATGTATTATGACAATGAAGTTGTCTCTTACATATCCAAGAACCAGATCTTTCTTGAATGAACTAAGCACATTAAAGTGAACTATCAATGTCACTTTGTTTGGGAAAAGGTAGTTGGGACATCTCGGGAACCACAACCTCTTATCTAGTGTGGGTCTCATGGGCATGTGTAATATTTATGCTCTAACGTGAGGAGTGTTAAAACTGACTAGTGATGTTAAAAAGTCGATATTACTTGTGTATGTTGATGATATGATCATCACTAGGGATGATATTCAAGAGTTTGAGAACTTTGAAGAAAAAATTGCATTCCATGTTTTATCTTGGAAAGCTACAATATTTCCTTGGAATGGAGATTACTCCACGCATGCAAAGAGTATTTGTGTTTCAACAAAGATATGTTCTAGATCTTCTGAAAGAAACATGAAAACTTGGATGTAAACCGATACTCCTCTGGAGCGAAATTAGACATCTAAAAGTAGTGATAATGAAGTTCCAGTTTATTGAGTGCAACGTTTCCAAGTTGGGATTGTGGGACATACATTTGTCAACTTGAGGAGGAATGTTGGAATGGAATTTTAAACTGTAATGAATTTGCTTTGCACACAAAATAACACTCAAGATTACTGTTCTATTAACTTCTCTGATAAGAAACAAGGCTGAATAAGCAAGAAAGACAACAAGAAAATCAAGAAAATAAATAGGCAGACACTACATCACTTTTGTCCTTTATTCCCATTTTGCCCCTGCTCCTCTACCAATCCTGTAATGTTTGTGTGACGGGTAGTGGGCCCTTTTTTTTGGAATCTTTTTTGATTTTTGCCTTTAGTATGTGAATTTCAATGGTGGGTGCACCACATTACCCCTTAGTATGACCTTGTCCTTAAGGTCAAAGTCAGGAAATCTGTCTTGTATAGTTCTTAATTCTGAAATCCTCCAAAGTGGATTCAAACTTTGGAACTCCCTTCCACTTAATCAATACATCTGTCCTTTGGCCAGGCTCCTCATGGGTTCGCACTCCCTTCACTGTTTCATTTCAGGTTCCCATGTCACTCTCATTTCTTCAAATAAGTGTGCTGGTAATTCTGGATGGGCTGTCTGGTTGCCTATTACATTTTTTAAAAAAAAAAAAAAAAAAAAAATTAAGATATGAAAAACGGGGTGGATCTTTGCACCTTTTGGGAGATGCAACTTGTATGCCACCGATCAAATCTTCTGCAGAATCAGGTAGGGACCATAGGAGCGTGCAACCAATTTTTGAAATGGTTTGTTTGTCACCGATTTTTGCCTGTAAGGCTGTAATTTAAGATAAACCCAGTCTCCTTCTGCAAATGATACATCTTTTCGAAATCTATTAGCTCTTTTTTTCGTTCTTTGTTGTGCTTGCAATAGGTAACCCTTAAGACTATCTAAAATGGCATTCTTCTCCATGAGCTGTTCTTCTACTGCTGAAACACCTGTTTGCCCTTGCTCTACTCGAATCGCACGTGGAGGATCCTTACCATACAATGTTTTGAAGGGAGTGATTTTACTGTTGGTGTGATAGGAAGTGTTGTGTTGGTGTGATAGGTTGTGACTGTTGGTGTGATACGGAGTATTACGATGAATGAAACATCGTAAGTACATCTCTACTGATTTGTCGACAATCTCTGTTTAACCATCCGTTTGTGGATGGTAGGCAGTGCTTCTAAGTAAATTTGTCCCTTAGAGTCTAAACACCTCTCTCCAAAATAAGCTCATAAGCACCTTATCTCGATCGGATACTATTGAGGACGGGTATCCATGAAGGCGAACCACTTCTTTGATGAATATGCTAGCTATGGTTACTATTGTGAACGAATGCTTAATAGCAATGAAGTGGGAGTATTTTGTAAGGCGGTTCGCTACTTCTAAAATAACATTGTACCTATGTGAGTTAGGGAGTCCTATGAAATCCATAGATATCTCATCCCCAACTTGATCTGGTATTGGTAGGGGTTGTAGAAGACCTGCTGGGTGGGTGGATATTGCTTTCTGAGTTTGACAAACACCGCATGCCTGAACATATTTATGAACTTCTTTCCTCATGCCCACCCAAAATCATTCAAATGCTATCCTTTGGTAAGTTCTGAGTTCACCCACATGTCTACCTATCACTGAATCATGAAACTCCTTCAATAACTTGGGAATTAATTCAGATTTTTGTGGAATGACCATCCTGCCCTTGTACATCAGTCTTTCCCTATTCATCTTGTACCCCATGTGGTGTTTTCCTCCGTCTCTTAAGTCCTTTATCACTTGCTGAATAAAGGAATCTGCAGTTATTTCTTAATCCAAGTCTTTTAACGGAATAGACCAGGAGGAAGTGAGTGCACAATGCAGTCGGTGGGGTGAATTCACGAGAGAGAGAGAGAGAGAGAGAGAGAGAGCATCCGCCACTTTGTTAACAACTCCCGGTTTGTATTGTATTTCAAAGTCAAACCCCAACAGCTTATACCATGGTTGCAAATAACGTAAGGCGTGACTTGGCGCCATAGACAAGCCTCAAGCCTTGGCGTTTTTCAAGGCATCACAAGGAGGCAAAATTTTAATATATTTTATAATTTTATATATCTATCCATATATTTTTACTATCATCCAATTATATAAACAAGCCATATATTAACAAAAACCTAATGTTTTCACATGTTAATCTAACATATAGTCACAGATTTACAATCATACTAAAAGCTTACAAAATGTCATCTTTCAAAAAGTCGGTGAACATTACAAAAGCATGTTATATCCTTAGATCAAATCTAAGGAGGAACAAAAACCCTTTTGTGGCCATGGAGGTTCACCCGTGATGACTCTCGGTTACTCGTAAAGCATGTCGGAACCTCGGCTCCACAGGAGAAAAAAAATTGCGTTACACAAAAAAACACGCTTTTTCGCGTCTTACCACGTTATTTGGGAGCCAAGCTTTACATAGCCGCCTAGGTCGTTTTCGGGACGTCTACACCACGCCTCGACGCCATGGCCCGCCATGGCGTGTTATTTAGAACCCTGACTTATACATCCATTTTTGGTATTCGGGCCCCACTTCGAGTTGTTCCATAAGTATTTTAGGCTACGTTGATCCGTTCTGATTAAGAAATATCTTCCCATAAGGTAATGCCTCCATTTCTTCGCCGCCAACACAAATAGCTATTAACTCTTTTTCATACACAGACTTCATTCTATTTTTTATTCCTAATACTTGGCTATAATACGCAATCGGATGGCTGTCTTGTAACAAGACAACCCCAAGGCCTGCCCCGGAAGCATTAGTTTCAACCACAAACAACTTGGAGAAGTCGAGCATAGCTAAGATGGGCGTATGAGTCAAGGCATTCTTGAGTGTGTTAAACGCATCAGTCGCTTGCGTTGACCACCCAAAACAGTCCTTTCACAACTGATCTGTCAAAGGAGCTGCAATGCTAGCACAACTTGCTATGAATTTTCTATAATATCCCGCGAGTCCCAAAAATCCTCTTAATTTACGTATGGTTTTAGGAGTAGGCCATATTCTCATAGCCGTCACCTTTTCCTGATCAACAGATACACCCTCTTTTGATATCATGTGTCCCAAATATGCAATCTGTGATTTTCCTCATTCGCATTTATTTGGATTTGCATACAACTCACGTTGATGCAGTGTTTCCAGAACCACTTCGAGATGCCTAAGATATTGCTTTTCATCACGGCTATATATTAGGATATCGTCGAAGAACACAAACACAAATTTACGAAGGTGGGGATGAAAAACCTCGTTCTTAACTGATTGAAAGGTGGTAGGGGCCTTGGTGAGGTCGAAGGGCATGACCCTGAACTCATAAAGGCCTTCATGTGTTCTAAATGCAGTTTTTGGGACATCTTCCAACTTCATTCTGATTTGGTGGTATCTGACTTTAAATCTAGCTTGGAGAATATTCTTGACCCATGTAATTCATCTGGTAGTTCATCTATCACCGGTATAGGGAACTTGTCTTTTATAGTGGCCTTGTTGAGAGTCCGATATGAACCGCCACAAATTGTTCTTCTTTTTCACCAGTAATATATAGGGTTGGCAAATGGGCTTCGAGATGGCTGAATGATCCCCGCAGTCAACATGTCTTGTAACAGTTTTTCAATTTCCTCTTTCTGAGCATGTGAGTACCTGTAGGTTGTAGGGTTGAGCTGACACAGGCTCGATGCCTTTCTTGAATCTAATGGCATGTCTAAGGAGGGATCTTCTTTAAGAGTAACTCCCTGCCCCTCTAGTTGGAACTTCATCACTTGTGTCTTCCAGTTTGTAGTAACAGGACCTAACTTTTCCAGCCATTGAATCCCCGTAATCACATTTGAATTTCCCAAGGTAAGTGGTAAAAAATCTTCCTGGATGTCCAACCCTTGTATGTGAATTAAAACTCCTTGGCATTTCCCTTTTCCTTCCACTGATTTTCCTGTTCCCAGGGAGACCCCAAAGCCTGGAGTGGGTATGATTGGGATTTTGATCATATGTCATCTTGGAGCCTGTTAACAAACTGGCCCATAGTTATGTCATCGGGTAGGTTGCTTAAAGGGGCTAACTATTCAATAAAGGATCGTTGATACTCTAGTACCGACCCGACTTGCGTAAGGGATAACCATTGTTTGTAGATCGTACCTGCGTTCATCGGACGAAACTGTCGGAGCAAAAGCGACTTCATCTCACTCCACCATGTGACGGGACGTTGTTTGTGTTCCCACTAGAACCAAAGGGGCGCATCTCCTTCCAAGGCCACCAACGCCGCCTCCACCTTATCGGCCTCCGACAACTTGTAGAAATTGAAGTGTTCTGCTCTTAATATCCGTCTATCGGGGTTTTTTGCATCAAATAACGGCATGTCTAGCTTTCGGAATCGCCAGTTGGATCCACCACCATAATTCACCCCTTGATCCTCCTCCGCTACCAGACCCACCGCTGCTCTTTGGTGTTCCTTTTGGAGTTTCGTCCCCTTCTCTGACGTTACGACTCAGAGATGGTGGTTTTGATAGTTTCTTTTGCAATAGCTGTAAATTTCTTGGTAAGCTCTTCCATCTTAGCTGAGATCTGAGTTGAGCCTTCAGATTCTCTTGTAAACTTGCCATGGTTTCCTTAATGGATTCGATTTCCTCCTCAACCACATCCACTCTAACCCCAACGACATCATTCCTGGGTGGAACCATTCTTCTACTTCAGGAAAGACGTGCTCTGATACCAATTGTAATGAATTTGCTTTGCACACAAAATAAGACACTCAAGATTACTGCTCTTTTAACTTCTGGTAAGGACTGATAAGAAACAAGGCTGAATAAACAAGAAAGACAACAAGCAAAGCAAGAAAATAAGATAGATAGTAACAATTCGAGCTGCTACTGGTCTCCAAGGATAAGAAGCTTCCAATATTCTCTCATGATCCTTCATGCTGGCTCCACTACAATAAATAGGCAGGCACTACATCACTTTTGTCCTTCATTCCCATTTATCCCCTGCTCCTCTACCAATCCTGTAATGTTTGTGTGACTAGTAGTGGTCCCCTCTTTTCTTGGAATCTTTTTTGATTTCTGCCTCTGGTATGTGAATTTCAGTGGTGGGTGCACCACACAAACAGAAGATAAAGGGATCCTGAATTATCTAAATCTTTAATTTTAGAAGTAAATATTGTATAGTTATGTTGCCAAGATTAGGAGGTTTTTCCTTGTTTATTCTTGCTATAATGTGTGGCCCTCAGATGCAGCATTGAGTTGAATTCTCATTTCTTATTGTTTCAGAATATGAGAATACTTTTCACTTATTCAAATGTTGAAGTATATACTTTCATCAAGTTGAATTGTCAGCTTTGGTTTTTAGTGGAAAACTGGTTGGGAATGAGAAGCCATATTTGAATTATCTAAATCTTGTATGCTGTTCTTACTTGTCAGGTTCTCCATTTTTCCGTGATGACACTAGGTTGCGAGCACTTCGCTTCCTGGACCACATGCTTGTACGTGCATGGAATTTATTTATATTATCTATTGTAAGCTTCTTAATTAAATATGCTTGCTTTTAAGATTTATTTTTTTCTTGGTTGCAGGCAAGAGATAATGTACAGAAGTCAGAGTTTCTAAAAGCACTATTGGACATGTGGAAAGATTTCGATGCTCGTGTTTTACGGTACAAGGTTGAAGTGTTTCCAGTCTCACTTTGTGCTTCATCTTTTAGCTGAAATTATGCCATGGGCTTTGGAATAACATTGGTTACATTAGATAAAAGGGTATATCAACAGTTGTATGTAAGATTGTTTATACTTGCCTCTAGCAGTTGCTTTATTTCATTAGAGCAATGTGAATTCTGGCTGTTCTGTTCCAAAAGTAATGACTCCGATTTGGCCTTTTTCTTTTTCTAATAGTTCAAAAAACAATCCATTTCAGTTTTTCAGTCTTTTTTAATTCGTTTTTGATATAATTAAAATGATGAGTGAACTTATTGTTTGTGTAGGTTCTTCCGCCTCTCTGTGCAGAGCTTCGGAATATGGTGATGCAACCGATGATTCTGCCCATGGTTTTAATGATAGCTGAGTCTCAGGTACCATATAGCTAATCAGTCATATGAGAGATTTTTCATTCAGCTTGTATAAATTCATTCTGTATAAAATGTTTTTGAATTTGACACTTCACTGGGTGTGATATTTTTGCCTAATGTTTGACAGGATAAAGTTGATTTTGAGACATCAACACTGCCTGCTCTTGTGCCCGTCCTAACAACTGCTGCAGGTGAGACGCTACTGCTACTTGTGAAGCATGCAGAGCTAATTTTCAACAAGGTAACAAATTGGTATTATTATCATTAAGAGTCCTCAAGTCTTTCATTTGAAACATAGAACTTCAGAATGGCCATCTTCCTAATCCTCTCTGAGTGAAGACAACTGAATAATCATTAATAGGAACTTTTTGTCATCTCAATTCTCAATATATGGGAGAACTAAACTAGTGTGGTGTGGTGTGTGTGTTTATCCCTCTTCTTGCATTTCTGACCTTATAGGAAGCTCATCAGGTGTCACACTGTTAAAACAATTCCATGGCTCTTGTTTGTATTTAGTGTATTATTTAAAATTTTGATTGAAGAACTTACTTGATCTTGTATGTCCGGCCTTCATGTTATTTGAAAGTCTTTCACCCTACCCAAGTGTTTTAATATTGCTGGTTTGGGTGTGTATGAATTATGATATTGATGGCAGGCTAGTCAGGAGCACTTGGTTTCTCATGTGTTGCCCATGCTTGTGCGAGCCTATGATGATATTGATGCTCGGATGCAAGAGGAAGTGCTCAAAAAAACTGTCTCCCTTGCTACAAAACTTGATCCTCAGGTAATTTTGCATCATTGATTTTTGTTATTGGTAATTCATAAAGGATTATCAGTATCTATGTATAGGTTGAAAATATTAGGTGATAGTGATAGCTGCAAACTAGATGTTTTCAAGCTTAGCATCTTTTGCCTGATTATGTCCCTAGCAAAAACCAAACATCTTTTCTTTAAATACCAGAGAAATGCACGAGTAATCTTAGGTGGTGTTTTTTTTTGCAAAAAGTATTTTTTGACCTCTTCTGTTTGCGGGTGGAAAGACATTTGAGGAAAAGACTGGTTGTTTTTCAGAAGACAAAAGACATAAAAAAGTCTTTTTGACATCTTTTTCCAAAAGACAAAAAAATAGCTTTTGATTTTGGAAGATGTTTTCTAAGTTCTAACCCTACGTGATATTTCTTTTCCACCACCAATGCCGCCATCACCGTTGCCACCACCACCGCCTTCCGCCGCCACCTTCCCCTACCTCCGCCACCACCATCGCCGCCACCACCAACACCAACACCAACACCACCGGTCTTTTTTTAATGAAGGCTTAAAAAAAACAAGCAATTTTTTTTTATGAAGACCAAAGACATGGAAAAAGACTTTTGGTCCACAATTTATGATTTTATTCCTCAAGCATGCAAAAAGACCAAAGACTTTTACCTCTTCAAAAACAAACACCGCCTTAGTGTTTCAGATGAGTAATTGATTAACATGTAAGTTAATACTCATCTAAAGGGAAGCTGAACAAGCTGGTGAATTACAACTTGCACAATTCTTTTTTTATCTTTTCTGTTTTTAAAGTTGATATTTTTTCTTCTCTTCTGGTATTCCTTATCTCTACCTTAGAAATTACCTGTTCTGTTTTATTTTTTTGGTATTGCATCTCTTTTTTAACTTCTTGTCTTGGTAATTTTGAACTTTTGTGCTAACAAATTTTACTATTACTTGTAATTTTCTGTTATATGACATGTGATATGTATCGAGTGTGCTGCTTTAATACATGGTCTATTAGTCCATTATCTTGTATGAGCTTTCTGAAGGAATAATTTCGTCTAATCAAGGATAACAGTCAAAGTCAAATATATATCTTAAATGGTGAACACTATTTTTAGGAACCTAATAAAGAAGAAAACCAATAAAAACTACCCTCACTCTTATCCCTGGATTTAAGGAAACTGATAACTAGAAGGATCATAGCGATGCCAATGTTGCTCATATATATTTATAAGGCGCTTTACTTTGTAGGTAGGTTGCGGTTACGATATAAAATATAAGGCCTCTATTAGTATTAATCATCCTCCAAGTTTCATGTGGTAAAAGCAGTTATTTGCTTAATAATTGTTGCTGGATAGGTTGTATTGATAATTTCATTGTTGCTTAGCTTTAGTTTTAGGTTTACCTGAAGAAAAAGAATCCATTAGTGAAGCTTATATTATACTAACATATATGATGTATTTTGACTAAAATCCAGCTGGTGAAACAATCAATTTTGCCTCGTGTTCATGGATTGGCACTAAAGACGACAGTTGCTGCGGTATGTGATCTTTCTAACATAATTGACAGAGGGTGGTATCAGTTGAGATATAGTTAGTTATATATGGTTTTTGTTACAATTTACAAAGACTTGTGAATTTGTAGAGATAGAGATGATTTACATGTACGTATATGTGGCAGGTGAGAGTGAATGCCTTGTTATGTTTAGGTGATATGGTTGTGCTACTTGATAAGCCAGCTATCTTGGAGATCCTGCAAACAATTCAACGTTGCACGGCTGTTGATCGTTCTGCTCCAACTCTCATGTGTACCCTTGGGGTAGCAAATTCCATTTTGAAACAGGTGACCCACCCCCACCACACATTTATTTCACTTATCACAATTCTATTCTATTCTCATATTTTCCCTCTGTGTGTGTGTTGTTTAGCATGGAGTGGACTTTGTAGTTGAGCATGTTCTTCCCTTAGTCGTGCCTCTTGTCCTTGCACAACAATTGAACGTTCAACAGTTTGCAAAGTACATGTCCTTTGTCAAGGGTGTTCTCAGGTACACCTATCCATCCATCTATCTATCTATCTATCAATTTTTTTTTTCCTTTGGTGTTGCAAAATGCAAGTGTAATTGTTGAATTACAGGAAAGTTGAAGAAAAAAAGGGAGTAACAATGAATGATAGTGGAGTTGATTTGAAGTCGCTTCCTGTTATACCTACTACTACTACTAGTACTGGTGATGGGGGTTTGAAGAAAAACATTCCAACTGCTTCATCCTCCTCCTCGTTAAGTAATGCATCATCTAGATGGGATGAAGATTGGGTGACAACAACAACAACAAGAGGATCCTCAATGGAACCTAAACCTTTAAGTCAGCCTCCCAAACATGATGTCCAATTCCCCATGATCATGTCTACTCATCAGCAGAAGCAAACACAAACACAAACACAAACATCATGTCCTCCAGCAGTTGAATTCGAGTGGCCCCATCAAGAGAAATCGAATACCTCCTCAAGTGCAAGCTTTGATGATTTAGATCCATTTGCAAACTGGCTTACACAGCCTACCACTAATCATTCTTTGCCTCCTCCTGCTACGAATGGTGTTGGTGGTCTATTTTTAACAGGTACAGAAAATCAAGTAAATAATAATTATAATACCAACTGGGGCAACAACATGGACAGCAGTCCTCCTAATGGGGGTTTCCCAAGATACCATCAGCAGGGTGATACATCATCATCATCAACAACTTCTGGTCCCAAGGCCTCGGATCTTGGCTCCATATTTGCTTCAAGCAAGACCCCTCAGGCACTAAGACTTGCTCCACCTCCCCTGAATGCTGTTGGTAGAGGTAGAGGAGGAGGAGCTCAAGGGCAAACCCGTCCATCCCGTGCAAAACCATCATCTGAGCAGCCTCCATTACTGGATCTCCTCTAGTTGAGTCAGCATGTTCATATATTTTGTGATTGGATCAACACCTACCCCATGTTTTCAACCTTTCCTTCAATAGTTTGGCATACCTTTTGTAGCGGTATTTTTTTTTTTTTTTGGCATTCTCTCTGTATTTTTTATAGCATAATATATTTGCTTTATGCGTTGTGTGTATTACTACATTAGCCATTGACGAGTTTAGTTGCTAAAACTCAAAATTCTTTATATAAAATGTACCAGTTTATCGATCCATGTTTCAAAATGTTCCATATGGTATTAATGTGATACAAGTAATCAGATTGGTTTTCGTGGTTTTATGGAGCTTTGAGCAAATTGTTGATATGCTTTCGTGGTTTTATGGAGCTTTGAGCAAATTGTTGATATGCTTTGCTGAAGCTTTGACTAGTTAAGTTTCAAGTAACAAATTAGGGTTAGCGATTCCTGTAAACCTACGGTTGAGAGGCTGCTAAAGGCATAATATACCTGTCATAAATAATGAATAAACAAGGTGGTTATGCCACGAAGGGTGCTAAGGCTGGATGAAGTGGTGCCATACTTATCACGGTCCATGTAGGCGCCACGTTAGATCTGCCATACTACAACAAAAACTTACCACTTACATGGCACGGGTTGTCATGCTTGCCATGTTACTTTTTAATATTTATTTTATAAAGAAATCAATATAAATAAATTATTTTAATAAAAACTTAAATTTCATTAACTTAAAGAAAATCACACTTACACTTAAAAAACATAACACACTTGAAATTAAACTAATACACATTTTTTTTGAACGAAAAATATATTAAATTACTCCTAAATTATTCCACCTATGTCCACTGCAGGACTTGAACCATCGACCTCAAGGAGGGAAGACAACACCGGATACCGCTGGGCTAGAAACCCTTTGGTAAACTAATACACACTTACAGTTAAAAAGTATAACACACTTGAAATAAAAACTTAAATTAGAAGTCAACGTGTGATACACCTTGTTCCGAATTGTTTCCTAATTCGGGGTTGCGACCCGAAGATCGATTATCAAAAGGCTTAGGGCCTTTAGAAAGATAGTATTAGACCCCGCTTTGGGTGTGGAAAGTGTAGATTGGATGACCCGGAAGTTCGGTTCGTGTTTTGGAGCCCAAGTGTAACATCCAAGTTTCGGTAAGTTCCCTTTAAGTCCCTAATGTAAAATATCTTGTATTTTAGTCCCTAATGTACGCGGGGCGTAGTCATTGATTACGCTAGCGTACTAGCCACATAATTGGTTGTGGATCTTAACCCCGTACGCTAGGCGTACGTGGTGTACGCATGGCGTACTCATGTCTGAAGCAAACCCTAGTTTTTAGGGTTTGCACCCTATTTAAGGACCTTAAGTCCCCCAAGTCCCTTACCTCTTCGGTCTCCATTGCCCTTGCAGTGCAAATTTCGAACCCTAAGCCACCTTAGTGCATTTGTGAGCTTCTTGAGTGATTTTTGGTGTTCTTTAGAGCCTTTGAAGAAGAAGGGAGCTTGAGAAGAAGCAAAGAAGTGGGAAGAGCTTGTAGATCCAGAAGTTTGGCACCATTTCTGACCCATTGAAGGTATAAAGCTTTAACCTTGACCATTGCATGTTTATATCTAGTTTTAGGGTATAAAATGTCATCTTTTGGTCCCATAGTTTGGATTCTTGGAGTTGAGGAACTTCAGATCATATGAGTTGTCCTTTTGAGCTCTTGGAGGTGTTTTGAGACATAAAAAATCGGATCTTGATGGTTAAACCTTAACCATGCAGGTGTTAGGGACCAACCAAGTGTGCTTATGGACTTGATTCATGTTTTGAGCCCTATCCTTACATGCAAAAGCATAAAGTTTGCAACTTTATGGCTTAGGACGTTTCTAGGGGTCTAGATATAGGTTTTGGACGTAAGGTCTAAAGGGATTAAGACATGGAGCTAAGTTTGGTTGGCAGAGCAGTACGTCGTGCGTACTCAAGTGTACGCCGCGCGTAATGGGTCAGCGCCTCGAACTTGGTCAACACCAGCGTACGATGGGCATACAACCCAAGTACTCCGCGCGTACGCGATCTGTGGGCTTGGAAGAATTTGGGCTCGTTTGGTGTTGGGCTTTAGACTTGAGAAAATTGGGCCTCAGGCCCACCTAAGTGTAGCAAGTCCTTTTTGGGCCTAAGGCCATGTTTGGGGTCCTTGGACATAGTGGGCCTTAAAGGCCCTATGGTAGGCTTGAATTCCTTTTTGGGTTTAGTGGTTTTATGCCTTGGAGAGTAGGAGGCCCAATAAGGTAAAGGCAAAGGAGCCTTTTGTGCTTGTGCGATAGGGAGAGGAGTTCGCGAGTCATCCGCCGAGTGCGATTTGATACCCACAGTCTGAGGGGAGTCTTCCTTCGCAGTAGCCGTGGGTCGAAGGCACCAAGGCCGACCCACTAGTTATGTTATAGCATGATGATTGTCTTTGTGATAATTGTCAGTCATGTCTGTATTTGTATGATGACTGTGATTATTGTTATGATATTATGTGGTAGTAGTAGGGGGTGAAATAGACCCGATATCCGGTTGGAATAGATCGAAGGGGTAGGCCAGTCTCCAGATATGCTTGGCAGTATCCGGTTGAGATAGACCGAAGGGTAGGCCAGCACCCATATATGATTGGCAGTATCCGGTTGAAATAGACCGAAGGGGCAGGCTAACACCCAAATATGCTTGACACTATGTTTGTTCAATATGTTTGTGTAGTATGTTTGATTGGTATGTGGTATGTTGGGGGAACTCACTAAGCTTTGTGCTTACAATTTTTAGTTTATGTTTCAGGTACTTCTAGTTCGAAGGGGAAGGGCCCGGCTTGATCGTACCACATCACTCCATGTTTTTCTGCACTTAGTGATTTTGGGATTTGTACTCTGATATTATGATACAATGTGACTCTTTTGAATACTTTGGTACCAGTTTCTTATGAATGGAATGAATTTAAAAACAAAATTTTTATCTGTATTTTTGGGATGTTACACCAAGGGTATATTGGTAATGTGTCAGTTCGGGCCTTTATGGATTTTGGATTGTAATTCGAAAAGCTTTAAGGCAAGGCTGAGTTGATAGAAGTGTAGAGCTCCTTATTACCTTTCCGTGGATATAAAGAATGTCGACATCGGACATAGAACGAAGAAGTTATGGCTTCCGGAAGTTTGATGGTTTGAGAGCTAAGCCTAGTACGCTGGGCGTACAAGTACACTGGGCGTACAAGTACACTGGGCGTACTAGGCAGAAGGATCGCGAGCACCTTATGGAGTACGCTGGGCGTACTGGGAGTACGCGGGGCGTACTGTAGCAAGATGAATAACCTAATTTTTAGGGTTTTTGCCCTATTTAAAGACCTTAAGTCCCTCAAGTCCTTTACTCTCTCAGCCTCCACTGCCCTTTTAGTGCAAATCTGGAACCCTAACCTCCTTGTGTGCATTTTGAGCTTGCCTTGGGTGTTTGTGGTGTTCTTTGGTGGTTTTGAAGGAGAAGGAAGTTTGGGAGGAAGCAAAGGAGAAGAAGGAGCTTGAAGATCCAGAGCGTGTGCACCATTTCCAGCCTAGTGAAGGTATATAGTTTGAATCTTGATCATTGCAAGCTTAGATATAGGATTAGGGTAGAATATGGCATCTTTTGGTCCCATGGTTTGGTATCTTGGAGTATGAGCAAATCCAGGCCATTTGAGCAGTCCTTTTTGGACTATTGGGAGTGTTTTAAGTAATAAAAATCGGATCTTGGTGGTTAAGACTCAACCATGCAAGTGTTAGTGACCATCCAAGTGAGTTAATGGACTTAATTCATGGTTTGGGCCCCATCTATGCATGAAAAAGCATAAATTTTGCAACTTTATGGCTTAAGACGTTACTTTGAGCTTAGAATTAAGTTTTGGACACGAAGGCTGAATGGATTAAGACTTTAGAGTGAAAATGGATTGACTGGCCAGTACGCTGGGCGTACTCTAGAGTACGCTGCGCGTACTGGGTCAACGTTCCGACTTCGGATGAGCATCAACGTACGAGCCATGTACGCCGCTGGGCTTTGGACTTGTTTAATGTAACATCCCGACTCCCAGGTATAATATTTAATTAAGTTATATTCATTTTTTCAGGGCGACTCGACGAGTTAGAGGCCCCAACTCGCCGAGTAGAGATGGAGATAGCCGCGGGATTTCTAGAGTTTACTCGACGAGTTGGAGGACCCTGTGACAACCCGAACCTTTTTCCGTTTCCATTAACCGATTTCCGTTAATAAAATTTGAATTTTATTAAGTTCCCGTCAAACTTCTTGGTTTAGAAAATCATTTAGTTTTATATAATTAAATTTATATACGAGTCAAAACCAAAATCGCGCGAAAAACCCGAATCTTGTTGAAAAATCAAATGGTTTTCGGCCTAAGTGAGTTTACGGTCGTAAACCCGTGTACGGCCATACACTCGTTTACGGCCAACGTCGGGTGGACCCCACCAACGACCATGCAAACCCCCTATAAATAAGAGTCCCTACCCCTCATTTACACTTTTCTGGCCGAACACTCTCTCCTTCTCTCTCTAAACTCTTGACCGTACACCCCAAAACACCCTTATCCTTCCGAAAATCATCGAGAATCGTCATTAGGAGTTGATTTGGAGCATCTAGAAAACGTTTTTCATCGTTTCCAGCATCCTTGTTCTTGAGTGTACGGTCGTACACCCTTCAAATATGCAAATCTTCATTAACCGCACACCAGTTCACGGCCGTACACACTTCAAACCTTCAACGGCCGTAAACCCTTCGAGAGGCAGTTCACGGCCGTAAACAGTTCACGACAGTAAACAGTTCACGGCCGTAAACTCCCTTCACGGCCGTAAACCCCATTCACGGCCGTAAACACTTCCTAAGTGGTGCATTAGACTGAAAACCCACTTTCCTCGATTCAATCAAGTCCCGGTAACATTCCTTAACCGAAAGCAAGTGTTTTTCTAACACTTTATCTAACGAAATCGCTAATTTAGATACATATATGTATTTAATTGTTATTAGGATTCCGTTAAGTGCCACACACTACAACTCGAGGGTCTTCATTTCAGTCCGTTGATTCTACGCTTGTACACAACTAACAGTGAGTTCAT